ACTAAACAGTATCACCTATGAGTGAAAACTCTTCTAAAGAGGCATGTTAAAAAATGGGATCTTGAAAGTGTAGAGGTTCCTACGGGCAACCAATTTAACAAGGTCAAGGCCACGGTCAGACTGTGCCAGTGTACAACAGCCGGCATCGTAAGTGCTACTCTCGGGAGCAGCAGCAGCAGCATCTGCACAGCCGGGTGACAGTGAGTCTCTTCAGGTCTCAATCTTGATTATACAATCACGGCTGCAGTCGGCCACGACTACAGCTGCTACATCATTCCGTTTACATTGCAAGTTACACCGTAAGTATGCTTATGTACGGTCACGTTATACTTATGGCTCTACTCGGGGTTCTTGCTGCATTATGACATTCAAATTCAATGATTACTTGGATAACATTCTAATATTTTTAACACGTGTGGCAAAATCTTGATACAGAGGTTGCTTCAAGAACATATTTGCTGACCTCTGGCAAACTCTTGTGCACAAGTTATTTCCTGTAATGGGTCCCGCCCACCTGCGACAATACTTTCCAACTACTGAACCTCATCTGCAATTACTATACAGACATTCATCGTCCTGTTCCTACTTCAGAGGCATCAAGACTAAAGGTTTATGAATGCCATCAAGGTTGAGAGACTGTTTATCTCATTTCCACTGTTATGGATATCCCTGTACAGAATTCAAAGAAAACAGTGACGAAATCCCTTCAAAATAAAGATGCCCAGGTATAACACGTGTAATTAGTAAACCATCTTCAGAGGAACTTTTACTAATTCATCAAATTAAGTAGGAGTAACTTAATGTGTGGTGTCACTCGTAAGTACGACACTTACTTTCACTCTGGATTGCTTTAATATCTATACCTGGCTTCTCCAACGAGTGTTAGGAGTGATTAAGAGCGTTAGATTCAGTAATAAGAGTCAAGTTTACTGTCATAATTTTAGTGTCAGTAGGACTGCGAACAGTTCAGTAGAGGTGGGTGAAACCAACATTGTAATATGCGATGCTAGTGTTACGTCCTCACTTAAAAGACTGACAAAAGGATCAGTGATATGTTAAAATTGTCTCTTCAAGTTAAGATAGTAACTTCAAATGATTCCTAACAGAAGTAGGAACACAATATTAAAAACAAAGATTTTCGGTAAACAGCGGGCTACTGGAATGGGATACACGAAATATTCTAATTACTGGGATAAAAGTATCTTGCGTATGTTAAACATTGAAGAAATAGCTTCTCTTAACAGCAATTTGCTGGCAAGAATAGTCACAATACCGTGGCTGGAACATTTCACATATAACTCAGACAAGTATCGAGAGACGTCGCGTAAACCAGGTTGAGGCCCCAGGGCTACCCCCGAGCCGTCGACCCGCCCCCAGGGCTACCCCCGAGCCGTCGACCCGCCCCCAGGGCTACCCCCGAGCCGTCGACCCCCGGTACCTCCGAACTTCCCCGCCCAGGGCTACCCCCGAGCAGTCCACCCGCCCCCAGGGCTAACCCCAGAGCGTCGCACCCGCCCCCAGGGCTACCCCAAGCATGTCCACCCGCCCCCAGGGCTACCCCAGAGCAGTCCACCCGCCCCCAGGGCTACCCCAGAGCAGTCCACCCGCCCCCAGGGCTACCCCAGAGCAGTCCACCCGCCCCCAGGGCTACCCCCAGGAGACAATAAGAACTAGCTTTTCATGAACATTCCCCTTCCCAAGCCTCTTCACCTTCATACCCTCTTTCATCTCTCCCCTCTCTCTCTCTGTCCATTTAATCTTCCTCTCCTCCCCTCTGCTTTTCCCTGCCAAGTTATGGTGTCGCTGTCTTACTTCGTAGTGAAGATGTCTTCATAAATTTCACTTCGGTGTTGGAAGAGCCATCCTGAGTGATTCTCAATATGGCACCAGCTCTGCTAGCACCATAACCTTGTAAACTAGCAGAAAGGCTTACGGAAATATAGCATTTAAGGTTCACTAAACTTAAAATTTAGAAAATACCACGAGATGTGAATTTAATATTTCAGTTTTCTTGGTAATATTCTTAAAACGTGTATGACTTTTACAAGGAAATTTAATTAAAAAAATCTCATTGGAATATTTTACGATATACTGACCTACTCAACTCGAAACTCAGTTTGACACTTCGTTAGTACAAGACGCCCTTGCTGTGGGATTGGATTATGGCAGGAGAAACTGCTAGTTTTTGTTCCCACTCTCATTTAGAACAAGGTAGGCACGCTGCTGATGCATCTAATCTTGCTTAATAATTTCTGCTTGCCACCTCTTCCTATTTCTCTCCACCTCTGCCATTCAAGCTGCCATGTCTCCCTTTTCCTCTCCGTCACTCGAGCAGTTTCATAACACTAAGAATTCCGGGAACCAGGAAAAAAAAATTTGTTTAAGACAAATTTTTATGCGGCTGGATGGATTTAGAAATGACTGGAGAGAGAGAAAAAATAGTAGTACCTCTCGAGTTTTAATTTCTTCACTGCCTTCCTCTTGGCATTGGAGTTTGTTTTTAATTACCAACACTAAGTACACTGATGCCTTTTACCAGCACTAGTAATTTCAGCAGGTACTGGAATTTCTTATACACACCACTGGAGTATTATTACACAGGACACGACACACCAGCAGGACTGGACTTTTCAAGCACTCTGGATGCGGCTCAGCAGTCCAGTAACACACAGGTAGTAGTTATATTTACCAGAAACGTGACCGGGGGAAAAAAAAAAATACCGTGACGAATAATTCCCCTGAGCAACAACCAGATAAGTGGGTTACGAGAGACTAACCTTGGTCCTAGGAAACCCCCACATGTCAATAGTTGCTTGCATCTCGCCCTAGTAAGGCTACACCAGCGATGACAATTTTAAGCCTATCTGATAAGGCTTTTTCGTTTGCAAGTGTATAACACAAGTCGGGGAAAAGAAAGAATTGTCAGGAACCTACTTAAGGTTACCCTTGGAGATGTTTAAGGTTGCAATGTCTTAAGACTAAACCCGTTTAGAACATACAACCAGGATTTTACCAGGAATTTGCTTGAATCTACAGAAGGTGGTAGCTCCGATTCCTTTGATTCAGAGCCCTTGACCAGCTCCCGATGAAACTTAAAACACGTATCTGAAAAAAATTTGTTAGGATCTCCAAGACAAAGTTTTCATAGAGTTTCGTCCGCAAGCTACGCTATTAATTAAAACTTCCACAGTAATGACCACAAGAGTGTCCACCACAAAAAAGGAAATATCAGTGCCCCAGTGGTATATTTTCCCAATAACTTTCATTTACCTTGCACCAGTGATACAAGCTGCAGGAACAGACACCGGGAGAGCACTTAATGTAAACAACGCACATTGAAAAAAAAAAAAATCTTCACAGTGTTTACAAACCGGTGGAGGCTGGCGTTCATCACGTTGCCAAATTGGACTAGAAGTCAGTCAGTCCTGCTGACACTTCATCAGGATCAGTGTTCGTCCTGGCAACCCGCCACGTTGGCAGGCGATTCATCTGTAAAAATTTGCATTTGTGATCACAACTGGGCCCATGCTAACCTTCCTATGGATGAATCTTATTGTAGCTAGCTGGCCCAGTGGTTTACGCACTGGCTTGGAGTTTTACGACTCGCCATGGGTTCTAACCCCAACCGTACCCTGGTTTATTTGTCATCATGTTATTACGATTAAATTAGTAACATTTTGTTGTTCTTCAGTAGTATAAAGATCACCTAACAGTTCAAGGATCATCTACATGATGAGCCTTGAACTGTGGCTTGTTTTGATCTCATTAACGAAGCTGTGGATTTTTTTTTACACAATTTCCTATATGTAGAACATATAAATGAATAATATAATAACTTAAAATGTGATGCTATTTGGATCCTTCGAGAAATTTCGAGTGAGGGGGGGGGGGGTGTAGAAGAGCTGCGGAGTGATAACGAGGGGGACGCCATATTGAATTTAATGTGTGAACACTGGACCGAATTGTGCAATGTGATTGGGCGTTCTTTAAGATCAATTAGGGTTTTTCGGCCTGAATTTGTAATTAGGAACCCATGTTAATGTTCCCTGCTGAATTGGACAGGAAATTTGTGGAACCTCAAGAATTGTGTGGATGGCAGAAAATAAGGAATGCGAACATCACTCACAGGGAAGTGCACCCTTAGTCCTTGCATTTAGATCTCTAGCTGGCCATTGTAGGGTCTAGGTGTTAGGCAGGTGTTGTGGTGTGATCCATCTACAGTAATTAAGTGGCAAGTGTTAATACCAATTATATTTTGTGTACCCAGCAAACCTAATTATATACAGTCCACAACTTTAATTTACCAGAGTAGCTGGTTTTATTGTAATTATTAACTTATGACAGGTCAAGCTTTTTGTGAGAATGGTAGGGAGAGGACTTCGAGGGAGTGACAGTTTGGCGACCTGCTGTGACGAAGTCCCACTTACCTCACCCAAATTACTTGCAGGTAATAATTCAGGTAATGCCCTGTAAGCCTCATGCAGGTGATTTGCTCACATAATAAATTTTCACAGATTAGAACCCTTTGATTATTATCTATCGCTTTAAACCCAATACTGTTACCAACAGTAAGATTTACATTATCATTTATTCTCATGACAAATTCGCTCAGGACAAATTAATGGGAAAATAAGTAAAACTAATAAAAGTAATTTTTTTTTGCACTTTCTGCAAACCATTTTTCCCCACCACTAGCCTAGGTGTCAGTAAATTTTGACGAAAGGAGAAGTATCACCTACACGTATTCCAAGAAATGCTGGTTTCTTACCCAGGCAAGCATCCTGGGGATGCTATCATGAAAAAAGTGTTAAACCTACAAGGGTCATACAGCGCCGCACCTGGAGAAAGTACGACCCTTCCAAGCAGAGAGACTTTACCATAGCTACAAGCTACTTAACCCTTAACTTGTTAAAATTTATAAATTTCTGACTGCTTTATTTCAGTCTTATATTTAGCATGAAAATCTCTGATCTAAACAAGTTGTTTGTATCTTATCTTACCTCATTTTAACATTACTCTAAGACCACTAGAGCAAACAACGTGTACCTCCTGCAGAGCTCAGCCAGAACACTGTGGTAGCATCACTCAACACTTTCCAGTATAAATAAAAGACATCCACTTAGATTTCTTTGTCTCGTAATTCTCAGGTCCACTGGAATGACTTAACGTAGTCAGTCGTCACCTGTTCCAAAACTTTCTGCAGTCCATTGTGGCTTCTTTCTTGTGAAATTGGAGAGCACAGACACTTCACTTCTTGTTCTCAAGAAGCACTTAGCACATATACTTTGAATTTCATAAAAAAAAATATATGTTTCTCTGCGGTTCACAGCCCAACGGTTGAACACGATCGTTAGGGTCGTGTTCCATTGACCGCTGCTGGGTCATTAAAATCGTAATTCACTATTAAGCTAAAAATTATGAATATTGTAGTCCACCAATATATATATATATATATATATATATATATATATATATATATATATATATATATATATATATATATACATGAAGATATACATATCACTGGGTATACATCCCACGTGCTTCGTTCCATTCCCAACCTCGCTTAATGACTAGTGTTGCCACACCTTCCACACAACGCCCTGTGCTGCTGACACGTCAACCATAACAAGAAGCAACAGTCTCGTGCCTCACTACGCCAACACTGCCATCTGTTAGACGTCGTCCGCTCTCCATCTTCAATTCGTGATGTCGCGTCGGTAAAGCCGTGAATTCCATGTCATCCTCAACAACGTTTAGTTCGTCACTGAGACGAACCTCACATTTCCTCATAAAACTGCATTACTGAAAAGCCAGGTTTGAGTATCATAATGAGAAGGACTGATCTGAGAGATTCATCATACAACAGAGTGGAGATAATTTTGAGAAAGTTGACAATGTTTGAAAAAGGAACGAGAGACACTGATATAAATAAAAGTCCCAAATGCACCAATGGAGCTTCAGGATATGCTTTTTGTCTTATGTTTCTGAGAAAACTGAGTGAGCTGAATAAAATAGTTGTGAAAGCAAATACTGAACACAGTTTCAGGAGTAGGTATGATAGAATAAAAAGAAGTCAGGAATCAGTAATAGAGGACACTGGTAGCATTGGTTGTAATCTGAAAGGCGACCAACACGAACGTATCTGTGAGTACATCTATAATCATTATAACAATGACAACACTAGTTCCTAATCACACACACACACAACACACACACACACACACACACACACACACACACACACACACACACACACACACACACACACACACACCACACACACACACAACACACACACACAGCACACACACACACACACACACACACACACACACACACACCACACACACACACACACACACACAGCACACACACACACACACACACACACACACACACACACACACACACACACACACACCACACACAACACAACACACACACACACACACACACACACACAACACACACACACACACACACACACACACACACACACCACACACACACACACCACACCACACACAACACACACACACACACACAAACACCAAACACACAACACACACACACACACACACACCACACACACACACACACACACACACACACAAAGCACACACACACACACACACACACACACACACACACACACACACACACACACACACACACACACACACACACACACACACACACGGTAACACACACAAGGTAACAGAAGCAAGACACGAGAGAGAGGGGTGGGTTGATTGCGTTTTCCTAGACTGCAGGAAGACCTTTGACACAGTTCCCCACAAGAGATTAGTGCAGAAGCTGGAGGATCAGGCGCATATAACAGGGAGGGCACTGCAATGGATCAGGGAATACCTGACAGGGAGGCAACAACGAGTCATGTTACGTGAAGAGGTATCACAGTGGGCGCCTGTGACGAGCGGGGTCCCACAGGGGTCAGTTCTAGGACCAGTGCTATTTTTGATATATGCGAACGACATGATGGAAGGAATAGACTCTGAAGTGTCCCTATTCGCAGATGATGTGAAGTTGATGAGAAGAATTAAATCGGATGAGGATGAGGCAGGACTGCAAAGAGACGTGGACAGACTGGACATGTGGTCCAGAAACTGGCTTCTCGAATTCAACCCTGCCAAATGCAAAGTCATGAAGATTGGGGAGGGGCAAAGAAGACCGCAGACAGAGTATAGGCTAGGTGGGCAAAGACTACAGACCTCACTCAGGGAGAAAGACCTTGGGGTGACCATAACACCGAGCACGTCACCGGAGGCACACATCAACCAAATAACTGCTGCAGCATACGGGCGCCTGGCAAACCTGAGAATAGCGTTCCGATACCTTAATAAGGAATCGTTCAAGACACTGTACACTGTGTATGTTAGGCCCATACTGGAGTATGCAGCACCAGTCTGGAACCCACACCTGGTCAAGCACGTCAAGAAGTTAGAGAAAGTACAAAGGTTTGCAACAAGGCTAGTCCCAGAGCTCAGGGGAATGTCGTACGAGGAAAGGTTGAGGGAAATCGGACTGACGACACTGGAGGACAAAAGGGTCAGGGGAGACATGATAACGACATACAAGATACTGCGGGGAATAGACAAGGTGGACAGAGATAGGATGTTCCAGAGAGGGGACACAGGAACAAGGGGTCACAACTGGAAGCTGAAGACTCAGACGAGTCACAGGGACGTTAGGAAGTATTTCTTCAGTCATAGAGTCGTCAGGAAGTGGAATAGCCTAGCAAGTGAAGTAGTGGAGGCAGGAACCATACATAGTTTTAAGAAGAGGTATGACAAAGCTCAGGAAGCAGAGAGGGAGAGGACCCAGTAGCGATCAATGAAGAGGCGGGGCCAGGAGCTGAGTCTCGACCCCTGCAACCACAATTAGGTGAGTACACACACACACACACACATGAGCTACAGGAGATGTGACTCGACCTCTGCATCTACAACTAGGTGAGTACACACACACACACACACACACACACACACACACACACACACACACACACACACACACACACACACATACATACACACACACAAGAGCTACAGGAGCTGTGAACCGACACCTGCAACCAGAAATAGGTGAGTATACAGCACACAGAAAAACGTAGTAAAGCTGTCTATGCACAGTAAGGGCAGGGACTGAAGGTTCGCCACCAGTAAGTTGCAATCAGAGGAAGTTATTATATCTAACCAGGAAACCTGAGTGGGAACAAATATAAGAGAATCCCTGTAGCCAGGAGGAAAAGGAAAGGGAGCCGAGGAGGAATGGTCTGAACAGGAAGTGTGGGTAGCAGGGCTCAGGTGCAAGATGGAATTAGAGTGGGAAAAAATGTTCAGTGAATTTTGCAAAACGACCGAGAAGATATCTACAAAGAGGAGGAAACGGGAGAGACGAGCTGCAGCTACTGAAGCTTGGAAGTGGATCTGAAGGAGATGATGAGGAACTGAACCTGATGAAAGACAGGGGTAATAAGATGGAAGTAGGAGTGGTAACAGCAGGTGAGGGGACTGAAGGAAGAGAAGTAGCAATGAAGACCTTTGTGGAAATACTTTCAGGCAACCGTGAGGTGCACGAGATGATAAGGGGAACAGCAACGGAAATGGAGGGATAGGAAGTGGGAAGAGGAGAGAGAGAGAGAGAGAGAGAGAGAGAGAGAGAGAGAGAGAGAGAGAGAGAGAGGAGCGTCACTGATTATTCACTGGCTTCAGGAGGCTGAAGAGAAAATTTAAAATGAAATATGGCAAATGGAGAAACAGGAGTTTAAAAATATCGTCACCTGGGACTGAAGTGATGGTCTGTGGCGGTTTCGAAATGGGTGCATGTGACGAGTGAGGTTCCACAAGGATCAGTACTAGGGCCGATGCTATTTATTGTATACGTGAATGACGTGAAGAAAGAGATAGTCAGAGGTAGCTCCTGTTTGCAGATAACATGAAACTGATGAGGGGAATAAAAACAGACTTGGACCAGGAAAGACTACAAATGGATCTGGACAAGCTGCAAATTTGGCCTGACAATTGGCTCCTTGAGTTTAACTCAAGCAAATGCAAAGTTAATATGTTTGGGGAAAGACAAAGAAGACCGCAGACGAAATATAGACTCGGATAGCAATGGCTGCAAACCTCACTCAAGGAGGATCTTGGGGTTTGTATTATACCGAGTATATCACCTGTGGCGCACATCAACCAAGTAACTGTTGCAGCAAATCTAGGACTAGCTTCTAGACATCTAAATAATGAGACATTCACGATACCGTACACCGTGTACGTCAGGCTCATACTAGAATATGCAGGAACAGTATGGAACGCACACCTTGCCAAGCATGTCAAGAAATTCGATAAAGTGCAGAGGTTTGCAACGAGACTAGTCCCGAAGCTAAAGGGTATGTCCTATGAGGAGAGGGGAAGGGAACTCAACCTAATGACATTGAATGACAGAAAAGCTAGAGGTAAGATAATAACAGTGTACTGAATAGTGAGAGGAATTGACAAGGTGAATAGAGGCAGATTGCTTGATATATGGAAAATAGGAACACGAGGGCACAGCTGGAAGTTAAAACCTCAGATGAGCCACAGAGATGTTAGGAAGTATTTCTTCAGTTTTAGAGTAGACATGGAGAGTGAGGTGATCGCTAGCTTTAATAAGAAACACGATAAGGCTCAGGAGAGGGTGAACCTAGTAGCAACCAGCGAAGAGAAGGACCCAGGAGCTGTGAATCGACCCCTGCAGTCACGTATAGGCAAGTACACACACACACACACACACACACACACACACACACACAACACACACACACACACACACACACACACACACACACACACACACACACACACACACACACACATAGAAGGCTTTTGAACCAGAATTGTACATGAGACTAGGACAAAAGCTAGAGGAAAAGGCAGGAATAACATGGAGGATACTACAATTGTTTGACGAATATCAAACAGGATGGAAACAAAGAGTGATTGGCTGGGAAAATGTATCAGAATGGGGAAATGTGACGAGTGAAGTTCTAAAAGGATCAGTACTCAGATAAGCACTATTTATGGTGTACGAGAACAACATGACGAATAAATAGCGTTTGTGTATCCATGTTCGCAGATGAATTGAAACTAAAGAGGAGAAAACATGTATAGAGCATATGTCAGGCCCACCTTGGAGTTGGCAACACCATTATGAAATCCTCACCTCAACAAACACATGAAACTGGGAAAAGTGCAGAGGTTTATAACGAGATTAGTCCCGGAGCTAAAGGGTATGATATATGAGAAAAAAATAACTGAGCTAAACCTGAAAACATAAAATGATAGAAGAACCAGGAGGAATGAGATAATATCGTACAAAATGAGAGGAACTGATAGGTTGGTCTGGAACAAGTAGCCCGAGAGGCGGGAAACAGGGACACGAGGGCAAAGCTGGAAATTGATAACACAGATGAGTCATAGGGATATCAGGAAATATTACTTCAGCCTCAGAGTGGTCAGGAAGTGGAACGACTCGGACTGCAGAGTGACTGCGCGAGGCTCTACTAGG